TGACTGCTCTTGAAAGGTTAGGGCTACTAAATTATTATTTTGCTACTGACCGCTTATTTTTAAAATAAGTTGTGATCAGTTTGGCTTTCAGATTTCAACTATTCGGGGAATATTTTTAGTGTTGGATTCTGGGTAACAAATAAAGGAAACGGAAGTAAATAGTTGCAAAAACTTATATCGTTATATGACATGGTCAAGCAAACAGAACAAGTACAACCTGTCTTCTGTATCTGTCTATATTTTTGAGATGAGGTATTATGTACACTGAGCCGACCAAGCATAGAAATGAATACAATGTGGCAACTAGTCATAAAGAATGCCAGAGAAAAGCGATAATAAAAAAAAATAAATAAATAAATAAAAATTGCAATATGAGCACTGGTAAAAAATGATGCTGAAGATATTAGGTATATAATACCCAGAAATTCATACCCAGATGTCCTCAAGGACACATGGCACAGTGGATAAAGGCGTTAGTTAGATTCAGTGAGAGCACCCAAAGAGTGTGAATTTAATACCTGTTTAAGGCAGCGGAGAACTTGGAGAGGGGAATTAACAGGAGATAACTGATAACTAACATCCATTAAAACATGGCACATGGAACTAGAAAATAAATTTCAAACTACCTGAAGAAGGCCGATACGTTGTAATAAATATGGCGACAAAAATGAGGACAATGTTTCGAATAATGTAAACAATGTTCAAAAAAGTGAATGACATTTGTCCGAAAACTGACTTCATTGAAATCTTCATATCGTCGAATGGTTCATTTCACCGAAAAAAAAATCCAAACATAGAAATTTAAAGGGAGATAACCAATATCGGAGTTAGGCCTTAAGAGGATCCTGGGCTAATAGAACTTGGAGGCCACTTCGTTACTTATGTTCGCTCCCAATCCCGTGTCTATCAAAAAAGATATATTTTTAGATGCATCATTTTTTGATATTTGTAATTTTGCACTTCTTACGTATCTCTGTTTAATGATATGTAAAATTTATCAAAAATCAAGCAACGTGTTATGGATAATCAAGAGTGATCTCCCCTTGTTTTGTTACTCCCCTCTTTAGAGAGCTATTTCTGTTTACTGGTACTATAAAAGGACACTATACGCGAACCTTGTATTCTCAGTCGAATAAAGCTTTCTTGCAGCCTACAATTATGTACTTTTGTCATTACACAAAGTATATAAACAGATCAATCGAAATATAAATGGGTCAACTTCATCGAATTTAAAAGACCCACTTTAAATAGAGGGGCCAAAATAGTCTAAATTGTTTCAAATTAGTTCGAAGAAGCCTTATGAAATCTGAAAATAAACAAATCTCCTCCGTTCTTATAGCTTTATTTATCAGAGTTATCAGAGACGCAAGTCTACAGAACCCTTGGGGACCACACTAGTTTTGGGCTTTCTAGGCTGCAACCCATATTTGCTCATATTTAAATTAGACACTGGATAATACTTTTTAAAATGATGTATCATTTTAAAATTAGACGTTTTTTTTAATTCATTGTATATTTATTTACGATAATGAATATCTTTTTTTCCCTTATAAATTTATCATTGAAATCTTCATTCAGGTCATAATGTTAATTAATTCAATGGGATTATTTAATGTCGAAACCAGTTACAACCAGGAAATTAATCGTCCTTTTGTCGCAGAAGGAAACGAACATAATTCACAAATAAATAAAACTATTAAAATATAAATACTAAAATCTAAAAACATACGAATTAATACAGAAAATGTTTACTTTATTTACGGATGTTAATTATTTAGGAGAAATATTTAAATGCCGTTTTTAAATATTCATAGAGTGACGCCAACATATTAAATACTATTATCACGCAAATGAAGTGTCAGTAAAAGATTTATGGAAAAATATTGAAAGTTCGAATAATTAAAATAAATAAACGGCTAAAGTTCTGTCTGTCCGCGTGTTTGAAACGCCACCCAGTCGGGTCACACTTGCTCTACGTAGACATATTATACCATTTTGGAATCAGGATGATCCTGGAATTGAAAATCTGCCCTACATCTGGTGTTTCAACATCAAGCATTGGGATTTATGTCCGGATGAGGAGGGGGACAGTTAAAAATTCTAGTTTTAAAATAGCTGAAAAAATAATGATTTTAAAAGTTTTTAATTTATATTGAATTTTAAGTTACCTAAAAGCTTCTGAATTTAAAAAAAATGTCTTAAATTCAGTTTAAAATACCTCCAGAATTTTGTGAATTAAGGAAATCAATTTTATTTCTGAATCAGAGCTGAAGAGGGGTTTTATGACGTTTTGAAGTTCCATAGTGTTTGTGATTTGAAGAACAGCTTAGTTGAAGTTCCACAGAGTTTGTGATTTGAAGAATACAGCCCAGTTGAAGTTCCACAGAGTTTGTGATTTAAAGAACTCAATTTTCGGCCTGAATGTGAGTTTTGGCCCAAATTGAAGTTTCGGCCCAAATCGGTTTTGTGCCGAAATTGGACTTATCACCCTAATCAGAGTCAAAATGATGTCTTGAAGTTCCATGGAGTGAATTGAATTTCTTCAAAATTATCATAGCTTTTTTCTAAGCTGGACCAGAAATCTCTTTAGTTTTTGCGACCGAGGCAGTATTAGCCCTTAACAAGATCTAGCTTTTAGGCTAGTCAACCGTAAAATAACACTGATCGAACACAGAATAAATTAACCGATGAATGGTTAAAGAAAAGCCAATCACTTCCTGTTGTAAGAGTCACGTGATAAATTCAATGACCCATCTTCTTTTCAGCAAGTAGCAACGTTGTTCGCTCATCACAAACCCGGTCATTGGTGTCAAGTTAGGGAGGATTGGTGCCAGCAACAAATAAAGAAAATAGTACTCAACAGTTATGTGGTATCAGTCCTCCTATATGGCAGTGAATGCTAGACAATCTCGATTCAGATGAAGAAGAGACTTGATGCAACAGAAATATGTCTCTAAAGAAGGATGCTGAGAATGCCATGAGCTGAACATATGATCAATGAAGAAGTTCTAGGGACAATGGCAATGAAAAGGACATTTATGCTTAAATGTCAAGAAGAGACAGTTGAAATTTTTTGGGGCACATAATGAGAAAATACTACTTTCTACCAACTTCTCCTACATTCATATCACACACTTCATGGGCACCCCGACGTTGGCTAATGGTTACGAGGCTTGTCTCGCTAGAACAATTACGACTGAGTAGTGAGTTCGATTCTCACTGTGTTCCTCATATATTCGGTCTTTTGCCACACCCAACCTCCGCTTAGAAAAAATTCCATCTCACTATTACTTAGTGATATAATGGAATATGCATACGCCCGAGTTCCGCCTCACTGGAATATGATTGGGTGGTGTCTGTCATAAATACAGACGGACGTGTAGGTACGCAGAGTTTAAGTCTATGACGACGCCAATTGGACTACGCCATTGGCTATCCTATTGGTCTACACCTATTACCTGCGAATATGACGAGTACCGGTCGATTACTGCTACTGGGTACTACTTACAGTAACCAAAACCCACTTAGCTACTTCGATCAAATATATCCCTTTCCGGGACATATCACTTAGCAAGTAAACGCAACACTGGTACAGCAGTGATATCACTGGTTCCAGGAGAACTCGTCATATATAAACTCTATTGACTATGTGTGGTACATGTTCCAGAAGATTCTATGACAACATATCCAACAATTACAATTCAGTTAGGGATAATCCCGAACAAGCCTATATAAATCTATTTACGCAACAAGCACACCATGACTCATATTCCATGTTCTTTCTTTGGCTCGACACAATTGTCATCTTACAATTCCTCCTGGTACCTGCCCAGTCAACCATTTACACAATCTCTTAGATAGGTTTCTAGGTGATTTCCTGTGAGTTTCAAATTCACCCACCCTTCTTTTCTCATTATGTGTATCAGAAGTTCCAGATGAACCATTCTGATTCGAAGTGTCTTTTTTGTTTTCATTTTACTTAAAACCTCGTCGCTGTTCACATGTTCCGATCATGGAATTCTCAGCGCTTTTCTGCAGAACCACATCTCAATGAATGAAATATAACCGAGCCTGACCTAGCATCACGAGTTCTGTCACCTTCCTGCCGGCATGAAGTGGCTTCCCTCTGTCTTTTCTACAAATATTTTCGTGGTAATTGTTCTGATGAGCTGTTTTCCTTAGTGGCCCGACCGTATGAATTTAAGCGTGCTACAAGATTGGCTGTTAGGTCTCATTGTTTCACTGTTGAACTAACTGGATGCAACCGTCATTTCTATTCTAATAGTTACTTTTCTCGCACTTGTCACCAGCGGAACTCCCTTCTTATTTCTTGCTTCCCTGCCAACTACAGTCTTCAAAAATTTAAATGTAATGTCAATCGTCGTCATCTGTTTTATTCTATTGTTCTTTTGCTCACTTCTCTTCATTGAAGTCTTTTTATTCTCTTTTACTCCCTATAACACCTTGCGTCTTGGTGGCTTTATCGCCTTGCATGTGGGTGGATGATTAAAAAGAAATCATTTCTAAGCTAGCTGTCTCTAATTTTTTGGCACTTCCGGTTATTGCCTTCTGTCAGTCCGGACAGAAATAAATAAATAGTAGAATAATTTTTGCTTTCTACTTTATTTTAATTGCTACTAAAGACGTCTGTGGTCGGACGTTATTGGTAATGACAAATCACCAATTAAAAGTGGCGGCTTCTTTGTTGACAATGTCAGTTCCTGAACAAACGTTCTAACAAAGTTTCACTTTTAAGCATCATCGATTTTTGTCGCGAACTTTTGTCTCTATCTAAGAATTACAAATTTCCTTTCGTGGCTTTTTGTCGCCTTCTTTTTTCTACGACACATTTCATATTGATAAGAGATTTCTCATGAAGACATGAACAGGTTTTTTTTTTTTTTTTTGGATTTGGCCTTTTAGGCTTCTTATTTGAATTTTTTAAAAAATTTGTCTTATCTTCGAGATTTTTCCGTTTTTTCTGGTTTATTTTTCTGCAGTATTTTCTTTTACTTTCTTTTTCTCTTTTTTACTTCTTACTTTCGTTCTTTTTCTCTTTCGTTTATTTTCTCTTCTTTCTTTCTTTTACTCTTTTCTCTTTCCTCTTTTATTCTTTTTTCTTTCTTTCTGATACTTTTCTCTTCTTCTTTCATTCTTTTTCTCTTTCTTTTTTAATATTTTTCTCTTTCGTCTTCCTTTCATTTTCTCTTTCTTTTTATTTCCTTTTCTCTTTCTTCTTTCTTTCCTTCTTTTTCTCTTTCTTTTTTAATATTTTTCTCTTTCTTCTTTCATTCATTTTCTCTTTCTTTTTATTTCCTTTTTCTTTCTTCTTTCTTTCCTTCTTTTCTCTTTCTTTTTTAATATTTTCTCTTTCTTCTTTCATTCATTTTTCTTTCTTTTTTAATATTTTTTTTTTTCTTTTTTTTCTTTTTTCTTTTCTTTTTTTTTTTCTCTTTCTTTTTAATTTTTTTCTCTTTCTTCTTTCTTTCATTCTTTTACTCTTTCTTTTTAATATTTTTTTCGTCTTCCTTTCATTTTTCTTTCTTTTTTCATTTCCTTTTTCTTTCTTCTTTTTTCCTATTTTTCTCTTTCTTTTTTAATATTTTTTCTTTCTTCTTTCATTCATTTTCTTTCTTTTTTATTTCCTTTTCTCTTTCTTCTTTCTTTCCTTCTTTTTCTCTTTCTTTTTTTTTTTCTCTTTTTCTTTTTATTTTCTTTCTTTTTTAATATTTTCTCTTTCTTCTTTCTTTCATTTTTTTCTCTTTCTTTTTTATTTTCTCTTTCTTCTTTCATTCATTTTTCTTTCTTTTTTATTTCCTTTTTTTCTTCTTTCTTTTCTCTCTTTTTTTTTTTAATATTTTTCTTTCTTCTTTCATTCATTTTTCTTTCTTTTTATTTCCTTTTCTCTTTTTCTTTCTTTTCCTTTTTCTCTTTTCTTTTTTTATTTTTTCTTTCATTCTTTTTCATTTTCTCTTTCTTTTTTAATATTTTCTCTTTCTTCTTTCTTTCATTCTTTTACTCTTTCTTTTTTAATATTTTCTCTTTCTTCTTTTTCATTTTCTCTTTCTTTTTATTTCCTTTTTCTTTTTCTTTTTCATTCTTTTCTCTTTCTTTTTTAATATTTTTCTCTTTCTTCTTTCATTCATTTTCTCTTTCTTTTTATTTCCTTTTCTCTTTCTTCTTTCTTTCCTTCTTTTTCTCTTTCTTTTTAAAAATTTTTTCTCTTTCTTCTTTCATTCTTTTCTCTTTCTTTTTAATATTTTCTCTTTCTTTTTTCTTTTCATTCTTTTTTCTTTCTTTTTCATTTTTTCTTTCTTTTTCATTCATTTCTCTTTCTTTTTATTTCCTTTTTCTTTTTTTTCTTTCATTCTTTTCTCTTTCTTTTTAATATTTTTTCTCTTTCTTCTTTTTCTCTTTCTTTTTTTTCTTTTTCTTTCTTCTTTCTTTCATTCTTTTCTCTTTCTTTTTAATATTTTTCTCTTTCGTCTTTTTTTTCATTTTCTTTCTTTTTATTTCCTTTTCTCTTTCTTCTTTCTTTCATTTTTTTTCTCTTTCTTTTTTAATATTTTTCTCTTTCGTCTTTCTTTCATTCATTTTCTCTTTCTTTTTATTTCCTTTTCTCTTTCTTCTTTCTTTCATTCTTTTTCTCTTTCTTTTTTAATATTTTTCTCTTTCTTCTTTCATTCATTTTCTCTTTCTTTTTATTTCCTTTTCTCTTTCTTCTTTCTTTCATTCTTTTTCTCTTTCTTTTTTAATATTTTTCTCTTTCGTCTTTCTTTCATTCATTTTCTCTTTTTTATTTCCTTTTCTCTTTCTTTCTTTCATTTTTTTTCTTTCTTTTTTAATATTTTTTTTTTCGTCTTATTTCATCATTTCTCTTTCATTTCCTTTTTCTTTTTCTTTTCTTTCATTCTTTTCTCTTTCTTTTTAATATTTTTTCTCTTTTCTTCTTCATTTTATTTTCTCTTTCTTTTTTTTCCTTTTCTCTTTCTTCTTTGTTTCCTTCTTTTTTTTTCCTTTTCTCTTTCGTCTTTTTTTTCATTTTCTCTTTCTTTTTGTTTTCATTTTCTTTTCTTTCAATTTCTCTTTCTTTTTCTTTTTCTATTTTTTCATTTCTTTCTTCCTTCTTTTTTCTCTCTTCATTTTTATTTTCTTTCTGTTGTGATTTTTCCTTGCTTTTTCGCGTCTCCATGTTTTCTTTTTCTTTCAATTTCTTTCCTTTTCGTTTTCTATTTTCTTTCCATTTTTGCTTTTTCATTTTTTTTTTGTCTTTTTCTTTTTTCCATGTCTTTTTTTTTTTTCTTTTTTTTTTTCTTTTGAATTTCTTTTTGTCTTTCTTTTTTCTTTGAATTTCTCCGCCCTTTTCTTCTTTCTTTTTGCTTTCTTCTTTTTACCATTTATTTCCTTTTTTTTAAATTTTTTTTTCTTTTTACGTTTTATTCTTTCTTTCATTTAACCTGTTTCTTTTCTTTCTTTTTTTACTCCTTTTCTCTTTTTTTCTTCTCACTTTTTCTTTTCTTTTTTCTCTTCTTTCTTTCCTTTTCTTTTTCTCTCTTCTTTCATCTTTCTTCTTTTTTACCCTTTTTCTTTATTTCACTTCTATTTCTCTTTCTGTTTCTTTTTATTGAATTATTTTCCCTCTCGACATTCTTTCCTTTTTCCTTTCTTTTCCTTTTTCCTTTCTTTTCCTTTTTTTCTTTCTTGTTCCGTTTCTTTTCTCCTTGTAAATTTTTGCTTTTATTCTTCCAAGAGTAGATTCTCTCATTCAATGAGTGTAGGTATTTTCCGAATGTTTGTGATCGAGCGCTTTCAGGCAAACATCTGGTTATTTTCAAGTTCCGCAATAGTGAAACTCGGTATGGCTGTTAAATTATATTGTGATGCCACAGTTTGGTGAGGGTCATGGAAATTCTGGATTGCCTAAATGTATCGTTATCCATGATGCACAATTCAAATGCAGCATCGATTGTTGAAGATAAGGAGTTTATTAATTTAGGATTTGGGAACCAAATATATATATTCAAAATAAAAGGATTCCAAAGATTAGAGCTTATTTAAGCCAAATCTATCTATCTATCTATCTATCTATCTATCTATCTATCTATCTAAGTCTGTTTCTTTCTTTCTTTCTATTTATCTATCTATTTCAGTTTGTTTATCTATCTATCTATCTATCTATCTAAGTCTGTTTCTTTCTTTCTTTCTTTCTTTCTTTCTTTCTATCTATCTATCTATCTATCTATCTATTTCAGCTTGTTTATTATCTATCTATCTATCTATCTATCTATCTATCTATCTGTTCGCTATCTTTTTCTTTATATTTCTCGGTCTGTTGCATTCACTTCCTACTCAATTGTCTTGGAAAATGCAGTAATCCCCACCAGCTATGGATTAATTAGTAAGACAGACTGTGTTCTATTTTCTAGCCAAAAACAGTCTAGGAAAAAAGAATATCTGAATTCAAACCAATCTGCAAAGGCCTTATGAGCGGTAAAATGTGTAAGACCCATTAATCAGCGCATCTCTACAGAAAGCCCTGAGCCCTGTCATCGGTTGTGAATAATGCGCCTAAAGAGTATTTCCTTTTCAACCGAGATAACCTCTAACAGTCTAAGTTAGGTCATTTCGAAGTTTATATCTACTAACTTTCAATTCAACGTTTAAGAAACGTTCTTTCAAACTTGTTTATTTCTGAATATTCTTGCGCTTAGGAATCAGTTGAATCTGTCGGTGCCAAATCGAATGAACATGAAGAATGTAGAAGTACCTCCCGTATTAATAATCTTATTTCTTTCTTGTGTTCGTTTTGCGGATTTTGCCTTTACATTGTCAAGCTGTAGTGTAGAATAACACCTTTTCTGTTTGCCACAGCCGGACACTTTCGGCACTGAAGGAGAAATGCTTCCCATTTTCCGAATAGAATGTGTCAACTGTATGCCCTGTTTTCAAGAATGAGGTTGTTCGCTCACAACATAGCTTTATCAACCCCCTTAGTGCCATGGGCAAGTACCTTGAGTTTATTATCAACAAGAAGATTGTTGATCACCTCAACAGGAACCAACTCCTGAGCGACAAACAGTATTAATTTTTGCTCTTATGTGTCCACTGCTGATGTCGTAATTGACATTACACATAAGATCAGTAAAGCGCTAGAAAATAAATTAATCAGAACAACTGCCTTAGATATCTCAAATACCTTTGAGAAGGTACAGCATAGGCAGTTGCTACACAAAATCCCCAGCTATGGAAACTCTGGAAGATTTTTCTGTTATAAGGCCTTCAGGTAGGTCCATGAAGATCGATGTTAATGTCCAGTCTTTTGCGAGACTTTTCCCCCCACTTAAATTTAAGGATAAAGCATTTTCAGATCATTGCTAAATGTATATGTAGACAAAAATAGGATTTATGGGTGCATCTTTAAAAATGTAGAAGATCGGAGACTGACAGCTGATTTCTGCTCTAACCTAACATCAAGGAAGGGAAACTCGCTTATAACATTAAATACCTCCAAAAAGTACCTGCTACTGTTTTATCATCAGCAAGCCGACTCCTGGATTTTCTTTAATCAAGATGAAAAATTGCACCCTCAATGAGGCTCACTCCAGACCCCAACCTTGAACTCATATATATGATGTATTGCTAAAGATGCTGGAAAAAGGATCGGTTCCTTGAACAGTAGCGGATTACTCCTAGCATGTTCTATCTTTACAAGAGTGTGGGGAAAATTGGGAAAATGGCCTACCTCGGAAAAGCCCACGAATCTGTGCGTCGTGCAAACTCCGGCTGCTCAACGGAATAAAAAAAAAGGCAGCGCCCATGTTTTATTCCAGGCGGTCTCAGACAGTTAATGCGAAATCTCGTTGTCTCGTCATTCGCATGCAAATTATGGTCGATCCTCGGCTGTATAAAGCAGGCGCGTTTTTGTTTCTGGGGACTGGGTTTTTTGCTCGTGAGAAGGTTGGACGTGTGACACTATTTTGTCGTTTACCCTCCTCGCTTTTTTCTATCTGCTACTATCAGTTGAGTCGTTGCTTTACAATAACAAAGAGTCAGATGAGTAATGCCTTCATTTTTGAGTTCAGAATGGTTTACACGGATTTGTGGCTGATGAAATATTTTACAACCCACAACCACCTGACTTCAGTCACTTTGTCACCGCCGTTACGTAGCTTCTCTTCCATATTGTCGAAGTAATTGTTCTGATGAGCATTCCAAGTTGATTTTGAGGTATTATGGTGGCTGTAGTAAAAATGGTAAGTAAGAATCTGTTATTTTAGTGTAAGGAATACTTTGGTATGTTTGGGTCAATAATCGTGGCTAGCTAAGTTTAAGATAAGACAGGGAAGATCAGCCTTCCTCCCTATCCAAACTTTTAGCTTTGTGTCACATTTTTTATTAAAACAGAATAAATATTACTTTCCTTGGTGGTACCCTGACTAAACGAATTTAAGCGCAGTACTAGATTGGCAGTTATGTCTCATAATTTGCTAGTTGCAACCATAATTCCTAAGCTAATAGTTTCTTCTCTCACATTTCTCTCTTGTGGAACTCCGACTTTCTGCTTTACTGTTAATTACAATCTTCAAAAGTTTAAATGCCATGTTAATCGTCGTAATCTGTCTTTTCGAACTATGTCCTTTTATTTTATTCTCTGTTTCTGTAACTCTTAGCATTCCATTATTTTTTGGTAGTTTTATTTTCTTCCTTAAATTTTAAGTATTAAAAAATTAAAAATTGCTACATTCTCTAGTTCTACCAGTTCAGACCTTTACATCTCAGATACGCCATAACACGTACAAAGAGTAAGCACATCTTCATTCCTTCATGTCACTTGTCAATCAACACCGCTATTAAGACCGACTTTCTTTCATTTTAAAGTACTTTTTTCAGCGCTGAAAGTAAGTAATGTTTGTTTAAAAAATATATTAAATAAACTTTATAATTTCTAATTTTCTTAAAATAATTAAAAAAAAATCATAATTGATTTTTTAAAAGAATTTTAAACGGAGACTTTCACTTTTGTAAACAAAAGTTTAAAAACTGGCTGACGATCGATTTTCTGTTAATTTTGCTGATTCAAATAAATACATGATTTTTAACGAAAATTTTGGACGTGCTAGAAATTATTAAAAATGTAAAAAATAATCAAAAAATTCTTTAATCTTTCCTCTTGATAATAACATAAACATTTAGAAGATAAAACATATTTTCATGAAGTTTAAGGCCTTTTTTATTCATGCTACGCTATTTTTTATGGATATCATGAACATACCTACTAAAATGGAACCGCCAATTGCCATCTTCTGTTTTTTTTAATGCTGTTACATTTTTATCATTTCTTGATATCTTTTCGTTCTCTATTCCTTCCAGTAAACCCTTGCGTCTTAATAGCATTATCAACTCATTTGGTGTAAAAAGATCAAAAATAGTTAAGGAGTATTGTATGACATAAATATATTCTTTAGATTAAATGTTCTTATTTTTTGTCTTGTAAAACTCAAAAATGCTATATCCAAGATTATAAAGTGATTTTCTGCATCTATCTTCAACCATCATTAACATTTTGGGGAATTAACATTTCTAAATATTACTGCTTAATATTCTTTTTTTTTCTTTTAAGTTTTCTGAGGTTGTTTATTTTCCGGCAATCCAATGTAGCTCTACATTCATGAATAAAAAAATCAGTTTTTATGAACTCCTGCGCTCAGCTTATGTATTCTACTTCCTGCTGCTTATACAAATATATTAGTTTATTTGCTTTCTTGTCTTTAGCCAATATTCTTAAAATGATGCATATTCTGTCGAAATTTTCATAAGCAATATTAACATTTTTTTTTAACATTTTTTTTATTTCTGTTCTTGTCGGTGATTTTTTTTCCAATTTCAACCATGTGTTCCTAACACTCAATAAATTTACATCTTGCTTCTCGTTTGAGGTTATATCTTTACTATCCCTGGCAATATTTATAATGGGTGTTCCAATAACTTGGATCGATTTTAAATGTGAATTAAGATTAAGCGTCTAATGATTTTTTTCTTTTTATTTCAGATTTAACAACTTAAGTCTTTGGCAATTTGAAACATGGAAATATTAACAATTAAACAACGTGTTAAAGTTATCGAAGCCTATTACGAAAATGGACGTTCAAACAGAAGTACATTTCCCGCACTTCGCGATTTATTTATTTATTTTTTTTTTTTGGTCAGCATAATCGACCAACCGAGAGTGCAGCTGGAAACAATGTAACGTTGTTGTGGAGAAGTTCAATTCCTGCGCGCGAAGACGAATAACGGTAAACTGGATTTTCGGCCACATTCTCCTGCACTGCAGCATTTTTTTTCAGCTGAACGGCGTAAACGAGCATGCAATGGTGTTTTCACATCTGCCATCGACCCAGTTTGTTTGAATTTACGAAAATGGACGTTCAAACATAATTTGATGAAGTTCCTAGGTCGCGTCATCTCTCGAAACAGCGAAGTCAATTGACCGCCACTTGACGACTTTAGATTTCTTCCTTTAGGGTCATCTCAAAAGTAAAGTCTTTGCCAACAAGCTAACAACAATTCCACAGATAAAGGGTGAGATAATAAGGCATATTGGTAAGATCGAGGCGCAACTATGCAGAGACGGCATCAAAGATTTTGACCATCGAGTGGAGGTGTGCCGTTGATGACTTGGCGGATATTTGGGCGATATTATTTTTCATACATAGTTGCCATCGCTTAAATATCATGATCCATTAGAGAAATAAATACATTTTCACAAATAACATTTATTTACTGCTGACTTTGATCCATCTTAATGAAACACACTTATATATAATCCGTTTTAATGAAACACCCTGAAAAGAAAACATAAATACAAATGATTTGTATTTATTTAAAATAACTTGTAAGTTTTATAATAATAATAATAAATAGTCACATGGTATATTTGTCGTATCGTATGAATAAAAAGTTTACGCGGTCCTAATGTTTTCTTTGATTGCAACGAGTATCGGAAACCGTTTTAAATATACACCCTTGTGTAAATTAATTGAAACAACTGCTTTAGTTTCATTTCTTTCACCATACAGTCAGTTTTAGACCCACTGGAGTGACAGGGTGTAATCGATTTCTATTTTTCCTCAGATTAGGTCATTTGCAGTGGTGTGCAGTAATATGAATCTGTTTTCGGGGTGTATGTTGAAATTTGTTTGGACTTGATAAATATTGCAACATCCGTGATTGCATCAGATTTTTATCACGCCCAAACACTATTGTCTCGATTGTCTATTAGTTGTCCTACGGTCATTGTCTGCGATGGACGTTACTCCAAGGAATTGTA